CGAGTACAACGTGATGGTGATTGACTTGCTGGGGCCGTCACTCGAAGACCTGTTTAACTACTGCGGGCGTCGCTTTCAGCTCAAGACGGTGCTTATGATTGCCGACCAGCTGCTCTGCCGCATTGAGTACTGCCACTCGAAAAACTTCATTCATCGAGACGTGAAGCCGGACAATTTCTTGATTGGTCTGGGCAAGCGCGCGCAGATTGTCCACATTATTGACTTTGGCCTGGCCAAGAAGTACCGTGACCCCCGAACGCATCAGCACATTCCGTACCGTGAGAACAAGAACCTCACGGGCACGGCTCGGTACGCGTCGATCAACACGCACGTCGGTATTGAGCAGAGTCGTCGTGACGACCTCGAGTCGTTGGGGTATGTGTACATGTACTTCATCCGCGGGAGTCTGCCGTGGCAGGGACTCAAGGCCAACACGAAAAAGCAGAAATACGAGAAGATCATGGAGAAGAAGATGAACACGCCGATTGAGGTGCTGTGCAAGGGCTACCCGGCCGAGTTCCGTGCTTACTTTGAGTACTGCCGCGCCTTGCGCTTTGACGACAAGCCCGACTACGCATACCTCAAGCGTTTGTTCAAGGAGCTGTTTTTCCGCAAGGGTTTCCAGTTCGACGCGATGTTTGACTGGACCGTTCTGAACTTGCGCAGCGGGCGTCGGGAGCGTGGCACCGGTGCTGAAGGCGAGCGCAGCGCTCGTGCGGACACGCACCAGGAAGCTCCTCGTGACGGCCGTCAGGTTGCTTCGCAGAACCGTGTGTACGTCTGTGACGAGGCGAAAGAGAACGATGGTCAGATGCAAGCACAGCAGTCCTATCGCTCGACCGGCCCGCGTGACGATCGACAAGCGGGTATGGATGCAGGCTATTCAGCCCCTCGCGTGGCCACTGGCGCCAGCCACGACGGTCTCGCTGAGGCCAAGCCGGCGAGTCGACAGCGCTACTGAGTCGACGATGTGGCCAGGAGCGTACTGTGCCGCTGCTGTCACGTGCTTGACAGTGGCAGTTATCTTTGCTCCACGATTGATGTGTTTTCCGTGACGTGAAACTGGTTGCGAAAGCGAGGACGCGATGCACGGAAGACTGCGAAACGAATGAGAGACGACGAATGAAAACGAACGAGAAACTGTTGGAGATTACGAAGGAGTGAGGAAGGAGAGGAGCGAGCGACGGATATTTCCAAACGAACGAACAAACAAACAAACAAACAAAACGATGACGAAACGAAGCGACCTTGCGGTCGTTCACGGAAATGGAAGACGAAGGAGTAGACGGCTGCGTCGATCGACCTGATGACTTTGTAGTTGTAGCGAGAGAAGGAGAAGAGAGAAGAAGCAAATGGATGAAATAGTGCAGTCGCCAAGCGTCCATTTCATTTGCGTGGTGGAAGTCAGGATGATATCTCGAATCTTTGATCGCTGCGAAGGACGTGACGAAGGCGCGATCGAGTCGTGAGCTCGCAAGATACGGCCCGAGTAGGCACCGCAGTCTCGGCACGCTGGACTTTGTTGCGCTCTCTATGTGCCGCTGCATTTGCGTCTCGTACTACATTTTACAATAAAAACATGCCTAAGATATCGACTACGGGATGCGCACGTGGCTGTTGCGAGCGTATCCAGCAACACAGGCAGATCTTCCGAGGTGGGCGTAGAAAGTCGTGCAAAACTGCGGTACTTGTCTCAGTTTGTTCGGAACTGTTCTTCCCGTCCGAGCCACTGCTGGTGGTGTATCACTTTCTGAAGGTGTAGATAGACCCGACAGCACGGCCAGTCAGGAACGTCCGCGTTGTCTCCGGTTGAAGCATCGCGCTGTATCTATGTGAAGTACACCACGCACGTCCCGTCGACAAAGACCGCACGTCTCTCGATGCCATCATCGCCTTATTGTAAGCTCAGCCGTCCGCTCGTATCGAAAGTTATTGCCTCGTGCCTTGTGATCGATCACGCATGTTCAGACGATACATGCAAACATGGAGCAATCACAGCGATTCCGCACGACACAATGTGCAGATGCAAGGGCAGTGTCTGCTCTGTAGCCAACCAGCTATTGCTGCCCGCGCTCAAGCACCTTCTTGTCGCGTCACGATTGCAGCAAATGTGCACAGGTCGAACACGTCAAGTCTGGCAATACATGCTGCGTTCAGTTTATACAGCCACGGGCAGCCACGCAACTTGTCGTCGTAGCCCATACGGACGTTGTCGTCTCGACGCCCCTTTCTACAGCCCCCTTCCAATGTCAACATAGTATCCTACACCAAGTCTACAGATCGTCCATATCGCTGCTCTCCTTTGGATGCGCAGGCGTATACGTCTCAATGCCCTTTCCAGCGCCCTGCATGGCTTCGTTCTGTGTGTACTGCTTCTGAGCAACGTCTTTCAATCTGCACCACCGCCACCACCACAACAACAACAGCCCAACTCAGCTCAGCTCTTTTCACCTCTACATCCATCCACCTTCGAGCGTCTGTCGTCTACCTCCGCTTGTGCACTTTGGTCTTGAGGTGCACGTCGCGTGTCTTGGCGTCGATAAAGTGACGGCCACATGGCGTACAGTAGAACTGGCCGAGACTGTCACAAGTCACAGCAAAAGGCACACAAACAACAGCACAGTCGATAGTTAGCAAAAACAAGCCGATTGATCCATTGACATCCGAGTCATCACGTACCCCGGCAGGTCCTCGTCTACCTCAAAGGCCATCTGTTTGCCTGAGACCTTCTCCACGCACAGGTCGTCCTGGATCTGATCGATGTCGCGTGCGCGGTTCTTTGTCGCATGGCCGCGTTTGTACTGCTTCTTCTTGGCGTGTGCGCGTGCCCTGCCAGCTCCTGATCGACCTGTACCCATTGCCTCGCTCTCGCTTGTTCTCGTATCGATACAATAATCCGATTACCAGCGAATAGGAACAATACAAAAGAGAAGACGATGAAGAGAAGCGATTGGATGGATGGACCGGGGCGCCAGGAGGTCGGATTCGCACACGTCGCATGTTTTTTTCTCAGACGACTCAGAACCGGAACGACTCGAGCGTCAACTCGGCACGAATGTGGTCTTTTAGCGACTGGAAAATGCACGGGAACGCCATCACGTCACGCGGATTGGTGTCTACCCAGAGCTTGTTGAATCGAGTGAAGACCGTGGCTGTCAACGCACACATAATTGTCAACAGGTCAGACACAGCGGCTGTTTCATCGACCGAGATGAGACCGACGCACCGTAGATGTCGTGGAGCTGCGTCAGACCAGCATGCAGGTCGTCGTCGCTCTCGGACGCAGCGAGACGGTACAGCTTCACGTCCAGCAAACGCTCGTCGATTAGCTCGATCAAGAAGGCCGTCACGTTGATGCCCGTCACAGCAAAGGGGTACCAGCGGGTCGGATGATTGGACTCGTCCAGTGCACTGCAAACACAGTCAATGCATGTCATACGTAACGTGTCAGCACAGCCTCAAGTGTCGCGTGCGCTTATAGTACCAGCCTCACCGCTGAGCTTCAATTTTGTAGTTTTTTGTGAAGTAGTTGAGCTGCACGAGTGAGAAGACGCCCATACCTCTGAAGTCCGACATCGGGTCGGTTCCTGCCATTCGCCAAAAACAAGCACGACGACATCACCGCGTACTCAGCAACGCTTTCCCTATAGCGCACGTCGTGATGGACAACAGGATCAACCGCACCTTGGAAGCCAATCTCTCCCCACTCTTTCGTAATGCGTCCGCCTTTGCGACGCACGTTCGGTTTCAAGTTGCTCCACAGCTGTTCCAGCATCTCTTCATGCACCTCGTTCGACGACGTGTAGCTTTCATTCTTTGCCGCACATACACGAGCGTACACCTTGTTGACATAATTGCAGCGCCGGAGACACGAGCGCACAATGGCCATCAAGCTAAAACGCACGTCAGTCAACCAGTCAGTCAACCAGTCCGACAAAAGCTTTCGTCAACAACACAAGCCATCGATTGACACCACATCTGAATTTCCAAACACTTTGTTGCCAGCAATTCCACGTACGTGACATCTTCCGCATCCAATTGCGCCCTTGTTGCAACGTCACGCAACGTCGCGTCCATCTGTGCGCAAGTACTCAGTCATACAAAAGCCCAGCGCCAAACAACACGACACAGCAGGACGAAAACCACGTACTGAGAATGGCTCCGTGGCAAACACTACATCGCACGTCTGCGCCATTGCGTCGGACAGAGCCAATTCGGTCCGAAAGCGCACAATGCGCTCGTCTTCGTCCACTTCCGTCGGTCGACACAGACGCTGCCACTCGTTCTGGCCATAAAAAACGCGCCCTGAAGACAATCACATGATAACAACATCACTCAGATCAGAAATAGCGATGATGAATCGAATGGATATAATAATAATAATGGTAAGAATAAGTATTTACTACTAAATTGTACAACAACGACAAGGATAATCATCATCATCGTCATCATCATCGTCATGGGCGAAGACAAAGAGTTTGTCCGCGTCCGAGTCGTCGGTATACACTCAGACATGAGCATTTTTACATCGTGCAGTCGGTCTATCTATACGCAGCAAGTGACAACGTACACACAGTAATCTTGATCCAGCGCCAGATACGCACGACAACCGTCTTGTTCGCTGCCGCTGCGTGACGTACGTGCGGCCCGGCCGACATGATGGTGTCCGGATACGCTGTCAGGATATGCGTATACACCAGCACCCTTCTCGTGGTGTGCTGTGACGAGATGTCAGGTGGGACACACTACATTAGTCGAAATGGGGTCGTCCACGAGGCTAAAAAGAGGTTGCTATCGATCGGTCGAGAGCATAAAAAGGAGCAATGTGGGAGTGCAGCCATGTTGGTGTCGCAGGTAGAAAGTCGGACGGGTATCATTCATTGGTAGGAGGGATTCACAGAAAAGGGCACTCACTATTTGTTGGTATTTCCACCAATCACAATCGTTACTTTGTCCATTGCAAACCGTTGACGAGCTTACGGCACCGGCGGCCTCCCGACATGGAGGAAACTGCAGCTCTGCTCGCCTCTTCTGGTGCGGTCTCGTGTCTAATACATACAGATGCTCATCCTCATGTCTCTGTACCTGTCTGTGTCTCTTTGGTGCTCATACGATGGCATGCTCGTGCGTCCAACGTCTGTCTACAGTCTCCAAGCAGCGATTCGCAGGAGTCTCGAAGCTCTCGGATCAGCTTCGGGCACAGGGAGTGACACCTGCAACCGCTGCCGCTCTATTGACGCACGTACTGCCTTGTTTACGTGATCACAACTCGAAGATCGCTCTGGGTGCACTGGAAATTCTCGAGCGGCTGCTGCTGGCGCCAGTGGCGGAGAGCACGTTGCGCTCGACGTTCAAGTTGCTCTGGACGAGCGTTGTCGAGCGGCTGGGAGATAGCAAGCTACATGTTCGGCAGAAAGCAGTGGACGTTGTTGTTGCAGTGTCGGTGGTGCTGGATGTGTCGATAGTGCTGGAAAAGCTTCAGCTTTGTATGAAGCACAAGAACTGGCGCACGCGCGAGCAGGTACAGACGTTTTGGACTGGGTGAACGAATGCAGGAGAAGAGTGCTGTTGAGTGTAAATGGCGTTTGACAGCTGTTGCTCGGTGTTTGGCGATGCCATAGAGTCTGTATGCAATGTGGAAATGTTTGGAGAAGCATCATTTGTTCAAAGAAAAACAGGGCGAGCTGTTGGATGATGTAAGTGAAGATGACTTGAGTTAGAAGGAGCCAGGCGGCTGTACTATTCATATCGTTATTGTGTTTGTACACAGGTGCTACAATCACTCGAGGATTCGTCAAAGGACGTGCGCGACGCAGCAATGACTGCGCTGGAAAAGTTTTACACGTATATCGGTACCTCGCTATTGGTAAGAAGATGTACTGTCGTCAGGGTGGTTGACGTCGAATGACGTGGCTTTGTTTTCGCTTGCGATCGACGACATAGAATGATTTGCAAAACAAGAACCTTCGCGCGGGACAGATGAAGACGCTAGAGGAACGATTCAAGCAGATCCCTAAAAGTTCTGGCGTCACTGTACGTGCGCCATCGTCCTTCGGTACCGCTTCGGTACGTCGGAGGCGTATGCATGGCGGGCACAGTTGGCGTGGCTAACTGCTCAGGTGTTGCTCGCAGGTATACAATGGCGCTCTCGAGCCAGACAGCAACCTGTCTCATGCCCTGTCATCAAAATGGTCATCCTCCGATACGCAGGCTCCCTCATCGTCATCTGTGGCACGGTATTTGGAATCTGTACGACATCGCACGGTAAACGAGGCAAAAGCGGTCGCTCTTGTAGCAGATGGCGATCGGTCTCCGTCTCGTGAGTCCCCTGGACGAAGTCAGGTCGTGCAAGACTGCAGCTTGCGTGGAACGAGTAGTGACGATATCTCCGATAAGGATATTCAAAAACAGCTCGGCGTAGTATTCAGCAAGCTGCAACATGACAACGATTGGGACAAACGTGTGGATGGGTTGAAGATGCTCCAAAAACTGGCGAACCGATGCGCCAAGCGCGGGGCTGCGATCACGTCTCTATCTCAAGGTCTCCGCCCGATTCGCGAGCGACTATGCCAGCAAGTTGGCGACCTCCGATCTTCTGTGTCCAAAGAAGCATGCGAGACCATCCAGATTCTTGCCAGAACTCTGACTGATGAGTTCAACGCTCACGCCGAAATTTGTCTCGGCAATTTGCTGAAAGTCACGTATATAACTATCCAAGTAGTTTCGACTGCAGCAGACACTACAATTCGAGCCATCATCGAGAGTACGAGTAACGGCTATACACGCGTGATCCCAAAGTAAGTGACGGCGCTTGCTAATGGTACCTATCATGCTTGCGCTACGGCTACTGACGGCTCTCTTGATTCCAGGTTGATCGAATGTGCGAGTTCTCGGAATCACGTGCTGCGATATAATGCGGTGTGCTACTTGACTCTGACCCTGCAGCGTTGGAGCGTCAATTTTCTGAGCAAGTACGACCACAAGGCTGCTTTGTGCCAGTTTGTAGCGTTGCTGAGTCCAACTGATGTGCGTTGATGTGCCAGACACTCGGATTTGTTTGTGCCAATCATGCCAGTCATTCTGCGAGACGCGCTCGTCGATGTGCGCGCGCAGTCACGGAAGTGTTACTGGTCGTTCCAGCATATTTTTCCGGTATGTCTACCCTTTTCTTGGTCATGCTGCCTCCTCTGACGCCTTGACATGACCTTTTATCATGCAGACAGCGGCTGAGAGCATATTCGCCCGCTTGGATGGACCAACACAAAAGAATTTGCGTGACGATTCCTCGAAGTCTACTGCACAAGCAGCACGCGTGACAGAGTACAGTTCGCTGGTTACCCCTGCGCCACCAAATAGCACACTCGTGCGCCCAGCACTTCGAACGACCAATACAGCTCAGCCGGCAGCCAGTACGCTTGCTGTATTGAATTCCGTGACCTACAATGTTGTTGAACCGGCCGTACAGCGTGATGCTACGTCAGAAGAGTCGGCAGCCGGCAAATTACCGAGGCGTGTGTTCGAAAAGAGTTCGGGTGTACAGGGAGTCGACGCTGCTGGAGGAGGTGCGCAACCTTCGCGAGTACTATCACAGGGTCCACTACGCGTCGGACTTGCCGCTTCAGCGAGGCCGTCGATTCCCAAGGACAGTTCCGCTTCAGCGAATGAAACGAAGAAGAGCACTGCTGTGGGCCCTCTTCGCGTGCGAAACACGCCAACGTCGCTGCAGACGACAAGTGCCACAAAGGAGAGCTTGTGTGCGTCGAGACAAGGGCTATCGACGGCCGGGATGCAAACTAGTTTGATCCCTGCTTCCAAGGTGCAACGAGTCCAGTGCGCAGTAGAACCTCAAGCCCCGACACTAACGGAAATCGAAGAGAGTGGTCCAAAGAGATTGCTCGTTGCATCGATGCCGTCGCCGACAGCGTCGCATGCGTCAAGCTCGAGGACAAATGTCTCATCGAGGGATGATTCGCTCGACAACAGGCCAAAGCGAGCTGTGCCCGCGAAATCGTCAGAACGGCTCCAGGCTGTTGTGCTGCCTCTTGCGGATCATCTTGAGGAAGCTCTTCGTAAGGTTGAAGACGAGTCCTGGTCTACTAGATTGGAATCCGTCGAGTTCATTGGCAAGTTACTTCGAGAGCACGTCGACCAGATCGCGAATGGCTCTAGTGAAGACCGCAAAGTGGACGGGCGGATCTTGATCGCGTTCATTAAACATCTGGGCGATGCTCACTATCGCGTCTCACAAGGCGTGCTGAAACACTTCTTACCACTGCTACAGCTCTGTGGCGACAATCAAATACTGGCTCCTCATCTGAAGACGATTTTGCCGAAGCTGTTTCAGAAGTTTGTTGATACCAAAGATGCAACTCGCATGGTCGCTAAAGAGAATCTGGATCACATTGCGTCGACGGTTGATAGCTCAACGCTGGCTGCGAGAATGATATCGATGCTGGGTGACGGGAGTAACATGAAGGTCAAAGCTGCGATGTGCCACTACTTGCGCGAGTTGCTGCCTAGAGCAGAAGGATACATGAAGAACGGTATCAACAATAGTCACATGAGGTCCTTCCTGCTCAGGATTGCTTTACTTATGGATGCCGACGTTCCCGTTTCGGTTGCATCAGCTTGTGGCGACCTAGTCTCAGTGGTTGCGCAGCTTTACGCGCGAGAGATGGATGTGGCGTTAGGATTGCTTCCCCCGTCAAAGCGTTCGGTCGTCGCCAAAGTGCTCAAGTCCAAAAAGATTGTTCTAACCTGCAACTATCCTGAAAATCATTCAGCTTCCTCAACAGCTCCGCACAAGACCCGACCACCGAATGGGGATAATAACAACAACCGTGTCGTGGAAAAGATCGCACGCAAACCAGAGAGGAGCCGCAAGCGACCAGAGTCACCAAGCGTGGACTCTTCGGGCTCTGCTCAGCAGAACGACCAAAAACGGATGAACATGACATCTCAATCGATTTCTGAAGATCTGATGAACAATCGCATTGCGGGTCAAAGTAACGAAGACGTTGTTACAGCTGTAGCATCGCCAAGGTCTGTAGTATCGTCCAGTGTGTTGTTTCCGTGCGGTGGAGTTGCGCTGGACAAGCACGGGACCCAACTCGAAGACATCCTTTATACGTTCGAGGAAAACAACATGTCGGAGGCTGAGGTGATGCGTGCGCTCTACAGAGTAAGTCTTGCGACTTGCTACTAGACCTTCTTTGTAGTGTGTGTGCTAACGACAAACGTCATGGTCCACACAGACGAGGCATGTGATCGAGACGACATCATGCGGGACTTGGGACCGCTGTTTTGGTCGACTGCTTTTACTGCTTCTCGACGCTGCTACCGATAAGAACACGAGAGCGCTAGAGGTGCTGCAGAAACTCGTCGCCGCGCAGCCTTCGCGGGCGCAAATGTTTTCAGAGCTGCTTTTTCAGCGCTTGATCGATGCAACGGTCGGTCAAACCGGCGTGGTAAGTCTGCTCGTCTAATGTTCATCGTCACTGCTTCCTCGGGATTCTTACACACCCTGTCACGTCCCTGTCTTCAACAGGCTTGCCATCTGATCAAGCGCATTCTAGACGACCTGGTGCGCTCAGCTAGCGACCAGCAGCAGATACTAGCACTGCTGATGCCGCTAGTCTCGAGCAGCAAACCGCCCGTGCTGCCAATGGTGCTGCGTCTTACCAAACTGTGCTTTCAGCATTGCGAGCAGAGCTCGCGTGAGAAGGATGTGACGTTCTTGCGCAATGACGACGTGGTTGATCGTCTCACAAAGTGCATTGGTCACTCGAACTCGAGTGTCCGCAAGTGCGCCGTGGACTGCCTCGTGGCACTGCACTTTGCAGTCATGGAAGACAGTCGATTCGTGCCGACGTATCTTGCTGCCAACGTCGATGCGACGCAGCAACGACTTGTCGAGATCTTCATTGACCGTGCCAAGATGACGCGCCGTCCATCGTGTTGAAATGTAAAGTACGCGTACTGCTATTGTCGCTATTGTTGTTGTTGTCGCTATGGTATGTCGTGTCGCCCGTGACCTCTTTTGCTATGTCGATGGCATGCGGTCTCAGGTGCGACATCGTCCCTTTTCTCGTTCGGTGCGTGGTACAGAGAAAGACACGTGTCGCGCGCGAGGGCCTTGGACTCGTTTGTTGTATGGTCTGTGTAAACTCGTGTTTTGTCTGTCTTTTCTCTGACCACGCAAAAAGAGCTCGTCGGGGGTCAAGTGGCACTTTCCGACATTCGAAGTTACAGTCGTCACGGGCTCATGGTATTGACGCACGAGACCCGCTACGTCTACCCCTTCCACTGGGACGTCGTCACGCGCGCGTTCTGGAACAAGTACCCGAACGAGCGGCTCGCCCATGTCGAGCGTGTGGATGTGCTGGACCGGCAGCTGGACGCGCAGGGACGACTGGTGACGACGCGACTGGCCAAAGTGACGCAAACGAACGTCCCCCAATGGGTCCGCTCGGCTCTCAGTGACTCGACGTACGTGTTTGAAGAAACAATATGCGACCCGCAGCGCAAGCGGCTCGTGCTTCGATCGACAAACCTGTCGCTGCGATCGGTGGCAACGGTCGAGGAGACTGTGTGTACTCGGTGCATCCAGACGATGAGCACAAGACGTTGTACGAAGCCGAGGCCAAAGTCACTGCTTTCGTGCCGCTAGTGGGTCGTAAACTCGAGAGCTTCTCGGCCAGTCGAGGTGCTGACACGGCGGCCAAAGGCATTCGAGTTGTTGAAGAGATTTGCAACGACATTTTCCAAGGCACCTTCCAGCCGGCTTTCTGTGAGGCCATGAGAGGCGCCGCTACGGCCTCGGTGGCTGCACACACGACACGAGAGATGGTGATTGCAGGGACACAGGATGCAGACAAACCGTAGCCAGTGAGCTCGACTGGTGTCTGCATTGCACTCACTGTTTATTTGCAGAACGGGACTCGAGCAGTACGTACACATATATACAGACGAGCAAGAGAGGGATGGAGACACGGCGACCCAGTGACGATGCTGCTCTCCGTCGATAGAGAAGCGTGTGCTGCTTTCGTTCGTTGCTTGGCCCCGAGGTGTCGTCTCCTCGCTCGACAGGACAGGTTCGGTGGAGACTGTCTTCCATGGTCGAGTCGCGACAGTAGCCGCACGTGGCGTCTTGCCTGTCGGTCGATCCACCCATAGCTTTAGTAAGCCATTAGAGTCTTCTATCTATTCAGCAGTCCTCCAAATGCAGTTTACGTAGCGGGTCTTCCGCTGTTGCCGTTGACGTTCTTGCTGCGTCTGTATGTGCCGACCTCGACGCCTCCGAATTTGCTTCGATAGACGACGGGTTTGCTGTTGCGACCGTCGACAACGAACTACATGACTCGCCGATCGGCACTGCCTCGCCAGAATCCGTCTCCGACTTGGACCCTCCTTCGACCAATGCCAACGACGCACGATGGACAGGTCCGTTTCCCGTTTCGACTGGCAACGCTATCCGCGATGAGTCCGAAAGAGGAGCTAACGTTTCGGTTGCTGCACCGTCCGCTGATACAAGAGCGTCGAAAGCCTCACCATTTGCCTTTTTCTCTTCAGGTACCACGTCTGTTGTCTCCAGCGGTTTTGATGTAGCCGCAGGACAACCTCTGCTTTCTTCACCAGCGTCCGAGCTCGTTGCCGAGACTTGTTCCGTCTCTTTGTCGGTACCCTTCGCACCCTGTTTTTTTGCCAGTCCATTGGAACATTCTTTCACTCGTCGAGACAAAATCGCAGCAAAAGCGTCAGCGTCAATGGATGCCGTAGTCGAAAGAATTTCTCGCAACGCGTCTGGGCATGCAGGGTGTTCTCGACACAGCTGCCGATGTTCGACTGCTGTCTCGGCGAACACCAGACGAACGTTGGAGACTGTATCCACTGCCAGCGTGAAAAACACTGCTGCAAGCTGAGACGAAAAAAAGTCGCGAGCGGCGCGGGCCAACGCTGCGTCCTTCTCACTAACCTCCTGAGGCTCCTTTGTCAGCAAAAAAGAGGAGCAAATTTTGACAAAGCACTGCCTGTCCTGATAGTGAGGCGAGTGTGCAAGGGTCACGAACTTGTCAACGATAGCAGTCAACCACGTTGCATTCGAATTTAGCCGAGCTACTAGCAACGGACAAGCCTGTCAATCGCGTGCACAACAGCAGGAACATGTCAGCGACACCGAGTACAATTTTCACAGCTTCACGCAAGCATTCCTCTTTCACGTACATGATAGCTTTGTTCACGCACGACCGCAACCGGATCCGTGATGAGCTTAAATACTAGCGGGTTGATCACCGAGAAGGTTGCCTCCGGTGTGAACGTGTGGCAAAGCTGCGCTAGTTGGCCACTCAGAACTTCGCGAAAACGCCACTTGGTTGTGTTGTCGAATGAGTCAAACTCCGCTAGCACCGGAAGATAGCTTTCACGAAACGAGGGTGACACGTTCTCCAAGAAGTCGGCAAAGTGCAGCATCGCACCAAGCCGGACGTCCTGCACGTCATGAAGATACCCGTCGAATGCCGTAGCTAGCTGTGTTTCGGTGATGGCTTGACCTAGAATTCGCGCCAGCTCGTGCAAAGAGTACGCGAATGACCGCCGGATCTTCCAGAACGTGTCATTGTACAGCAGCTCAAAAGCAGCAGAGAGTCTTGACCAGTCTGCAGCGCCCAGAATGCTTGCTACCGCCGGGAAATTAAACGCACAATGAAATTTGATATCTACCTCGCCGCTGCCACCAAGCTGTGATGCTGCTGTCGTTGCCATACTTGCAAAGTGACCCACCAGTTCGTCACTGACCTGCTCTTTTACTAATGCCGCTAGAAACGGACCCAAACTCTGATACGCTGCCATGCGCACCCAGCGTGACGAGTCAGTGATAAAACGCTCAAACATCGGGACCAAGATCGGACCGCGGTCAATCGGTGCCAGTGCGAGCGCAACATTGGCTAGACACTCGGCGCAAGCTTTTCGCACGCCCCAGATATCATCCTTCGCTAGCCGCTCAAACGCAGGAATCAATCGCTCTCGACTCAGCTCCATGCCTGCTGTCTTGCACACATTCGGAAAACTCAGCACTGTCGATTTACGAACTCGAAACACCGGGTCTTCTGACAGCGATATGAGCTCTGGGACACAAAACTGCTGACACAACTCGGGGCCAAAATGTTCCGCCAGTCCATTGTACAGCGCGACGGCCGAAATACGAAACTGTTCATTGTCGTCATCGTGTGCGAGCGGCAACACGATCGTGAGCATGTGCTGTCCCTGGTCTTCGAGCTTGACGAGTGCAGCCATGTCCACGAGACTCTCGCTCGCTGCCGAGCGCACTTCGTGCTGATCGTCCGACACGAGCTTCGTCACCAGAGGCAAGAGTTTGTCCAGCATCACGCGGTAGCCCACGTGCGGCTCTGCCTCAACGAGGAACTGGCACAACAACGGGAACTGCAGCGCCACGTGCTGCCGCACAACGTACTCGACGTCGCACACGAGCGGCGGCAGCAGCGGCAGCAGCCGGTCACACGTGGCGTGGAACCCCACGGACCGCGCCGTTTCGTGCAGCATTTTCACGTGGATCACGCGCTGGAGCGCAATGTTGCTGCACACGTACTTGGTCACGCGCTGGAGGTCACTCAGGCTGTCGTCAATGGCCAAGTCCTCAAACGTCGGACCGTTTGCGAGCTCCGAGTCCGTGGGAGCCGCACAGACCTCGTCGTCTCGCTGGGTAGCGAATAGAAACAATATCAACACCAACGTCAACAACGATAGAAAAAAGTGATAGAAATACAATCAGTCAGTCAGTGATGCGTTCCGTCGTGCGGTAGAAACGACAATACATGAATTCGTCAGTCAATGCATTTCGTATTGCACCGTTTGGCAATTAATTGATTGTTTTTCGTAGCGGCGAATTGCAATTAATTGACTTGTCGTACCATTGCATAGTCCATTGCGCGGCGTGGCAACAAGTGCAGAGCAGCGCTTGACGAGGACGTGGAGCGGAAAGAGGTCACGGCAGCTGGTGAAGGCGCACGTGGACGATGTGAGGGGAAAAGGGCCGCGACGGAGCGAAGCAGCGCGGGGTCCGGTTCGGTTGTTCCCCCTCTCGTCGGAGTAGAGTCGACCAGCGGTGGAATGTGACGGGAAGGTAGCGCGGAACCCGAAAAGTAGAAAGCGGTGGGCCGATGCTGCAACAATCGACCGCGTTTCTAACCGTTATTTTGGGTGGGCCGAGCAACGAAAAGAGCCCACGCGCTGACATTTTGCACGAGCGTTGGCTGAACGGACCTATTTTTTGGCGTATACATACAGTACAACAGCGGCCGTGTGGGTGGGTCGTTCTCGGAAATCAAGCACCCCGTCAAGTGTATACAAGAGAATGACACAGATACAATATCGACCACGACCATCGATCGTATACGGACCCCGGCATCCGATCGTGACAATACGTGCACGCACGTGAGACACAGCGTTGACAAAAGAGGTCGTGCTAATTGCTGACACACCACAATCGAAGAGGCTCTTCTCAAGCCCATCGCAGTTTGTTAGTTCATACGACCACATCGCAGTTGGCCATCAGTCATCACGCAGACACATCGTACACACTGCTGACAATGGCAAATGAGTCTACTGATCGCAAGCTCACAACAGCGCAGCTCGAGCAACGTCAAGTCCTTCTACGTCCCTCCTGCATCGACATGGGTACAACGTCAAGACGGCAATGACGAGCAGCGTACTGCAGCTGTGCTCGAGTGCATATCCGTATTCGCTGCAAGAAAACCTGTACGAATCGTAGTCGATCCTGCGACAGTCCAAAGCTGACGATGACCCCAAGCTCTCATGACCCACTCGTGTGGCAAAGACGATCTGCACCAGGTGTCTGTCCAGCCACTTAATTCGCCTGCTCCTGTTGCGGTCTCCACTCCTTTTGCTGCAGTATGGCAAACACGTGCACTCACAGACGCACGTCGATCTTGTCGGCCTGCAATTGTCTCTTGACGTCGTGGATCGACACCTCCTTGCGGTGGTAGATACCCGCTGCAAGCGCCGCATCGCAGTTCGTCTTCTCAAAGACCTCGGTAAAGTGCGACGGCTGGCCCGCACCACTGGACGCAATGACTGGGATGCGCACCGACTTCTTCACGAGCGCAATCAGGTCGAGATCGTACCCAGCCTTTTGACCGTCCATGTCCACGCAGTTCAGCAGCAACTCACCGGCGCCGAGAGCCTCAACCGCTCGAGCCAGCTGCACTGCGTCAATGTTACGAGTCTCCCGGCCACCGCGCACCGTCATTTGGTACCAGCAGTACTCTTCCCCATTAGGACCCGGTCGTGACAGCTTGACGACATTGTGGCCTCTCGCGTTCTCGTCATAGAACGACGCAACGTACACGCGCTTGGGGTCCATCGACACCACCACGGCCTGGTTGCCGTACACGGCAGAGATCGTCTCGATTGAGCTCAATCCGTCACCTTTACCGCCGTTGGCATAGTACCTCTCGGCTGCGTACACAGCGTCACTTCCAATCGAAACCTTGTCCGCCCCCGAGCGGAAATACAATGCCGCCACATCGAGCGCCGAGTGGATCTTCTGTTGGTCATCCATGTACTCACGAATGCCGCCGCCAATCGTCAGCGGCACGAACACGCACTCCGAACTCGCCTCCAGTATCCGAGCCATCGGCAAATCGCCCATTGGCTGCTCACGGAAGCTCGTGATGTTGAGGAACGCCACCTCGTCAGCTCCCTCGTCAAAGTAGCGCTTGCACAGATCAACTGGTTTGCCCATATTGCGGACATTGCCTTCTCTCGCGATGCTCGAGCTCTCGCGCACGTCGTACTGGTCGCCTTTCGTCACAACCAGATCCCCCTGATCATTCGCCCGGACGTCCAAACACCTGCGACACAGAGACAGAACAAAAGTGCACAGAACAAACCGAGCAAACAAACTCGCATCGCATCAGCAACAGAAACAGTCCACACAATCACTTCGTCTCACTCCTGTAGTCCTTCCACAAGAAAAAAATAACACAAACGTACGCAATGATCCGTTTTGACAGCGTCGTCCGTGGCGCCAAACGCGCCGTAGACACCACAGCATCATGGTCCGGCATCTCGCGCGTGTCCAAGAACCCCTTAAGCATTGCAATGCCCACAGCCCCGCTCTTCTCTGGATGAAACTGCGTCGCCATGACGTTGCCCTTTTGCACGGCACTGATGAACTCCACGTCGCCGTAGTCCGTCGTCGTGAGCACCCAGTCAGCGTTCTTGTCCGTCTTGATCGCTCGAAACGAGTGCACAAAGTACACTTTCGCCGCAGCTGTAGCCACTGGAAGGGCCGAGAAGAGCGCCGACTTTTTCCACGCAGTGATACCGTTCCAGCCAATGTGAGGCACCGCCACGTGGTCGGACGCAAAGCGGGCGACAGTGCCCTTGAGCACCCCCAGTCCCCGAAGCTCGGGACACTCTTCCGAGCCTTCAAACAGCGTCTGCATACCCAGACAGATGCCCAGAAACCGACGATTGGCAGCCACGTACGCCCGCAGGTCGGTAATGTAGCCACTTGTCTGCAGAAACTCCATCGCGGCGCGAAAGTTCCCCACGCCCGGGAAAATGAGCACCTGCGCGGTCCGAATGTCGGCGGCGCATGCCACGTCTTTCACCGAGTGACCCGCGGCGCGGATGGCGTTCTTGAGACTGCGTACGTTGCCCGCGCCGTAGTCCAGTACCGTCACTTCGACCATGACACGCAATTGCTCGAGCACTCGATTGGGTGGTGGTCGTGCTCGCGGATCAGGATCGAATACCGGTATTCGAACGAGCTTCGTCGTGAAGTAGCTGGATCGTGCGTGGCCTAGTTTAGGGTATCGGTACGGTCCATGATGCGTGTTGCTGTAATGGCGCGCGCGTGTGTGTTGCGTTTGTGTTTGTGTCTGTCTGAAATAGAGATAGGGGTTGTAGCTGGTCAACAACACCTGGGATGCAGCATGACTTTTTCGATAGAGAGGTTGATAAGCACTGCACGCATGTCTGTCCTAAACATGTTGACTGGATGCTGAATAGGTCTCGTGTGATCCATGAGATGTATGTGTGTATGCACCACGTGGTCGTGTCGTTCAGCGTGGTACGACCGGTGCACGTTGTAGAAAAGTGCGTCTCGCCGCTGGTCAACCGATGCAGCGGGCGTCCAGCGAGCGGGTGGTAAGTCACTACGAGCCCTTTACAGCCTAAAGCAGTGCAACGTCAATACTCTCCCGCTTGTCGCTCGGCCTCTGCAGCAGCGCATTCTCTTTTCATTTGCATTCCACCTCGACGCGCGCTATTCCCTGTCGCCCACTCACCCGCTCATCAATGAAGGTCGGTCTCCTTGCCTCGACACTCTTGGCCGTTGCCAGTCTGGTTCAAGGTGATCGAATGCAAAGTACACTTCAGCTTCCAGTCCCTGCACAGAATGAGAAAGCAGAGGTTGACGCGGTCACGCCTGCACCCACGACGTACGCTCCAATGCCGGCACTGGCACTGACTGACGTGAATCGTCCGACGCCAGCACCGACAGAAGGGGCGACATACACCGATCGCACAGGTGCGAGGCACTCGACTGGAACTGCCGTCGGAGTAGCGTACATTACCACGCGGTCAGCGTACGAGGCGGAAAAGAACGCTGGCAACAGCAACAGCACGATACCCATTGTGGTCATTGCCTGTTGCGTTGGAGCGATTGGTGCAGTGGCCGCTGCGACGATTATCAGCAAGCGCAGGACTGAGGCTGCTGACACCGAAGACGAGAGCGAGACGGGGTACTCGAATGCGATGTGTACGCCCGTGGCAACGGACAAGAGGAGCTATTCCGGCCTTATTGCATTGCCCGCCGAAGTATACGAGGTAGACTACATTGACGAGCTGGACGAGCTGGACGACATTGACGCACATGCTGTGTAAGTTTGTCAGTGTCAATGTGTCAGACAATGTGAGGCATCAGCGGACAGCAAAGGATCGAACTTTGCTGGAGCGGAACACGACAGACGCTGCGCTCTTCTTGATCGCCGCTGACCGTTGAACGCGTATGGTAGTTGCCACGAGGCTTGAGCTGCGAGCAAGGGTCTCTTTCTGTAGTCGATTCACCAGTGCGTTAAATTGTAATGGTGCGATGTGAATGTTTGCAACAAGAATTGTTCTGATGTGACGTACAATAGCCGACGGGCGCATGTGCTTTTGACTGCATGGTAATAGCTAGCGGTGGTGTGTATGTGAAAGTAAAGGGGTGATGCATTGGTTGCGCAGGTAACGTTACGTCTTCTCGGCGCTTGATTGATGCTCTCTTTCTTTGTTGTCGGTTCTCCACATTCATCAAGATTCCTTCGTGTGACTACAAAGCACCGTTACAGTTCAAGACCTGCATGTGAAGGATACGTGACCGCATGAGCCATACGAGTGAGATTCGACGAAGGTCTTTGTCAAAGCGAGCGCACTTTCGCACACAAGATGTTGTTGTATTGCTGAACATCGATGGACGCCAGCCACGTCCAGTCCAAAACAATAATCTGCTTTCCGAAGACACGACACTGCATCTGCTGTGCTTGGACGTCGACCCACAAGCTTATTGGGACCATGTTGTGCATGTAGGCTCTGATAGTGAAAATCTGATCCGATTCCTACAGCGGTTGCAATTGACGAGCGTCGGTTGGCCCTTGCAAAGTGAATGGAACCGCGGCAACGCTCTTCGCGACTATCTCGTGGCTCGCAAACGCTAAAAAAGGTCTAGTTGCACGCCACCTGGTCGTTGAATCTAAGAGTCATCTCGTTCGGTGTGGCCTGACAACAACAATGATACACTGCACATTCGTAAGCATACACGACCAACTACACGAAGCAACAAATTGTCGACTTTGAAGTCTAATCCGACATCCAAATGACTTATCAAAGTAGCCTTGCCAGCACCCGACGGCCTGACAGACGACGTTTGCTTACGCACACCTCGATGAATCTACAAACGATGTGTGCGGACACGATATTGTTAGCCAGAGTATCTTCTTTGCTGACCGCCACACATTAAGCAGAGATGCAGCCGTCAGTACGGCACAATTACATGTTAGTGTCCGCTGTACATGATCATGTTGTAGAAAAACATCATTGCAAACGGTAATGCGGTTTTCATCCCCGCTACTACATCGAACATCGGCATCCTACAGTCGTTGATGAGTACCTTTATCTGTAGTAAGTACAAGTTGTCCTCTGCGGATAGTCGCCCACTTCATCGTAGCTACAGCTGACCATTGTAGCAATTTCATTTCCCTTTCGTAGCGGTATCTAGTTAGACGAACATTTGGCCAGCACTCCTTCGTAGATTGGGCGATACCTCCCGCCCTTGTCACTTTTGTGAGCGTTTCGGATGCTATAAAGCTTGGCGTGACGGTGATACACACAAGATCTCTCTTTGTTATCTCTCTTGTTACGCCCGGACATACCAAATCAATATGAATTACAGTCGGCATCCGACAGTCTCAATCGCAAGTGGAGCTGGACACACGTTTGATCAATCGATCATTTGCCTGCACCAGGATCGACAAAACACTTCGCAATGTATCGGCACGACACGTCAATGCGAAAATTGCACAGCTCGTGTATTGTGAACCCACACTACAGTACTCATTCGGTGGCCGTCGTAGCAACCACTATTCGTTGCTTATGCGACTACAACCGAATCCACAGCGTGTCGTTCGCTGTGACACAGCTTTTTTCCGTACAAAAATGCAAGTGATAGGCGCCGATGGATCAGCAGCTTCCACACGCAAGCCTAGGTAGACGTCAGTTGGAGGTCATGAGGGACTGTAAAGCCTTACCTACGAGAGGTTGGCTTCGGAGCAGAAGCGCAACCTTTTGGTAGAATCCAGCGCTGTAAACGTAGGTTTGGAAACGACGCAAAAGCGTATCGAAGAGGATATGGCCATAAGTGCTTGAGGTGCGATCATGGCGCGCTCACTCGTATGCCAAGCTAAGATTACGTATCAGGAAGACAGACGCTGCTCATGTAAGAAACACAATTCGAAACCTTGACACCTGCTTGTGTTCCTCTTACACATTGATGCACCCGATAGCGGAGGGTCATGCCTAACATGCCTTTACGTACCAGACGTCGCTTTGCTTTCGTCTCATGAGGAATTAAACCGACATTCGCTAAATTGTAACATTTCTTACATACCCAGGGCACCAAAACATTTCATCACCTTGCTATCCATTGACAAATATGTTTACCGAAACCCGCGTGCCTTTTGGCCTCCCTAGAATAAAACGAGCCAATCTTTGCTTGCACTGACACAGTATAAGCTACTTGCACGGACCACAGTGTAAGCAGGTGTCTCATCACCTCACGTCCACTGTACGTGCAGAGGAAGTCTAACCTTTGGGACATACTCCTATAAAAGCAGCCAACTGCTCAAGCGTCGATCTGGTTGGCGGGCATTTCTGGAAGGGTAACACTAGCATACAGAAACGGTCATCACGCACATTTGCGTGCTCGGAAATAGCACAAGCATGCTAAGACGAAGGCCCGACGAAGGCGGCGACTGACTCGCCGCCGGCACTGGCGCCTGCGTTACGGAACGGTGACGAGGGCGCGCAAAACGAGCGAGGCAAGTCAAGCGCGACGGCGGCAAAATCGGCGCCAGCCAACGTGGCGAAGCTGAAGAAGCGCATCGCGCGGCAAGCACCGGCGGGAGCTGGGCCAGATACGGCCGGTGCTTGCCGCGCGATGCGCTTTTTCAGCTTCGCCACGTTGTCTACGGATGCAGCATCGTGGGCCCCACACTGCGTGGAGGCCCACGATAGCGAGCACCGACTCTTGTACAAATGCGCCCGGAACTAGTACCGTTACCGCATCAACGTCTCTCAGCGAGAGACGACGCTCGCTGCGGATCGTACTGTCATGGCGTGGCTTGGGGCGAAGATCTACCTCTTGGGTCTGCCGAAGTTTTTCAAGATACACATGTCGGTGCTGAGAGAGACGAGTTTATCTCGTACTTCCCGGAAGCGTCGCTGCCTGCGGTTTTATGCGTGTCTTCCTGTCGGGTTCATGCTACCGGATGCAGGGGCCAAGCTACAATCTGCCGAACGCTCCTCGAGGCCGCAAAGTCCGACGAGGACATCGCGCGCGTCCAGGGAATCTTCTCTTTGGTGCTTGTAGTTGAATGCTCGTTGCTTTCCAAAGTCGTTGAGTTTGTGTTCATCAAACCAACATCCCAAGAAGCGTGGAAAGACGCGGTTTTTAGGATCGGAAAAGGGACGCTCGTACTTCGCAAGACAGAGGCGCTGTACACCGGAGTCCAATGACTTGGTACGACACGCTCTCGCATGATCTGCTCTACAGCGTCAAAGTGCTCAGCATGATCAACTCCGAGCCCGCTCTGGTACGCAGAATGATAGCTACTGCCACAACAGCGCCATTCGTTTTGATCGAGTCGATCGAACCGGGAGCCGAGGACAAGTTCATACTGCACAAATGGCAGTCACTTTCTCCTTCACCGAGTGCCCCGCGTGGCTGCTACGGACGCACACGCAGCGCGTCGCCAGTGCTAGATCAGTGATGGAAGTGGGGGTACATCAGCCACGAAGCAGCCACCGGATCCCGTGCAGAGCTTCTTTCAGTTTCAAACACTTCCGCAAGGACTGCAAGGCCACGGACCCGATGGCATCTGCGGCGTCTTCTACCCGTGACGTGACGGTCGAGCAGATCGCGACGCCAGACCTACTGGTGGACGAGATCGTCGATGACAAGCGCTTAAAATCGCTTCGCGAGCGGCTCGCACCGGAGGCGCAACAACGATTGCTCGATAAAAGGCGGCAAAAGCTTACGAGGCGGCGCAGCGCAAGGGCAAGAAGACCGCCCGTGCTGCTGGAGAGGCAGCGCGGCTACGCAATGTCGAGGTGCGGCGAAAGATTGTTGCCGCCAAGCGCGAACGAAGCAAGCTGCGAAGGCCAAGACCCAGGCGAAGGTGGCAATGAACCTACAGATCCTTTCATTTCGCTATGTGCAAAAGAGAACCTCACAAAGGACGCCAAACAACCCCACTTCATCGCAGCCTGCCAGAAGTGCCCAGAGGACTGCGGCTGGCGACGGTTCGACAACAGCGAACAACGCTGGCGACAGTGTGCGCGACAGCACGCCGATCAGCGCGGGTGACAGCACGCCGAACGGAGTCGAGCCACCGAAGATCGAAGGCAACGGCGATCAGGAAGTTACGAGCTTCAACAACTACTCGAAGCCCGAGGACGTGCTGATGGAATCTGTCAGCAGCCTGGATGACACGATGCGAATCGAAGATATCGAGACAGGCGATGAGCGATCAAAAGGATGCGACTGTGATGACAAACACGCCACCGTAGACACCGACCCAATTACCGTCCCTCGAGCTTTGCGGCTACCTTTGACCAATGGTAGCTGCAGGAAGCGGGAAGTGTCAGATACGGTCTTCTTCTTGCGATCACTCCGTGTCAAGAGAACGTGGAGGACTCCCACGACGCGCAAAACGCACAGCAAGCCGCCAGTACCACGACCGAACTATTAACGAGTCGCGCGTCCGCAAATCACCTGCCGGTCCACCGGAAACAGTAAACGCAGTCTTCAGGCATTAAGACAACTTAGCAGTAGTCAATGCGGACACAAATACAACCGTCAACGCAACAGCCAAGTCAGCTGGCAACGAAGCCGCCAAGCCAGCAGGCAACTCAACCACCAAGGCACCGCGCTCAGACCCCGAGGCGGAGAAATCGGCAGCAATCCTGAGGTAGGCTACTATGAGAAAGCGCCACGTACAAATACCCGCGTCATACCAACTTCCAAAAACGACCTGGATCTGTGGATCATGGAATGTACAACCGAGCTCACCAAGCTCACCAAGCTCGTCATAGCGCTTCCGCGTTTTAATCGAATTTCTCCAACGAATGTCTCGGGAATCGCTGCTGAACTTCGGCTACTTGATCAACATCGAGGCGCAGTTTGCTGTCATTTGCAAGTATGCTGCAGATTGCAACTTCTCAGCGAAGACCCGCGAGCTCTGCACAGGATGGGAAGCTGTGACTGGCGTATGAAGGAGCAAAACCAGGTGGAGAAGTACGGACTTGATAGAAAAATGAAATCTCTTGGAACAGCACGACAAGAATCTGCTCTGCGCGACAGTTGTTAAGTCAGTGGAGATTAACGAGTGGGTTGCACTCAACGCCATCTGCGTGCTCTTGCCCAACCTCGCACCTGCGGATACAGAGACGACCGTAGTAATGCCGCAAACGAAGTCGTCACTATTCTACACTTACGACGCTGTGCGCTGCAGCTATCGAAGGTATTCTAGATATTCCATCTGAGTGGCAGTCTGTCCTCGATCTTATCACAAACGACGGCCAGGCGCCGCCGCTTCAGAACGAAGGGCGCCTCGGGCTCTCCTCAAGCTGCGTCAGGGCGGACACCGGTGTGGCTCATGTGAGAGCCACAGGTCACACACGACGAGGGGTTTTCAGGACTCCAGGGCGGGATCACTCGAGAGCACCATCGGAATACACACGCAGAACGTCGTGGGACTTCCGAAGAATCCAACCCAGTTCATGGGGTGGTTCTCGCATTTCAGGCAGTGGGGAGATCGTGGACCGGTGGGCACCGTTCTCTTCCAAGAGACTCGAGTCGTGGAAGGGGAAGCGAACAAGATGAATGCGCTGTAATGCGCGGTATGAGGTTTCAGGGATGAGGACAAGCACGAGCTGACTATGTGGACTGAAATAGAGGTTCGACGGGGGGAGTCGACCTTCTCCTCAATCCGTACTCTACCGTCACCGCGTTTGGGTCGTGTCGAGAGGATCTCTAACGGAGCACTGGATGGCAGCACGGGTTGAACACCACGGCGGCGAATTTTTCATCGCTAACGTCAATGCACCAAAAGACAAACATGTGCGCGAGGAGCCGTTAGAGAGGCTCACTCCGATCATTGCCCCACATACCGGTCCGATCCTTCTTGACGGCGATCTTAACTGCATGCTCCACGCAAAGCTCGGCCGCTCATAAGCGATTCCGGGAAGTCGACACGACTCGCCCGCCATCCATTGACTGCTGACGCGCACAAGTTTGGTTGAAGTACTCGAAGATGCGATCGAGCGTGCGAAAGAAGGTCGTGGACACTACGAGTTCCACGCCCGAGCGCACACTTACTTCTACCACCTTCACGACGGTACCCGAGCGATCTCCCGCCTCGATCGGTGGTACATCCGTGCATCAGACGAGGTCTGGGTTCGACACATCGATCAGTCCGTCCCAGGACCTGCGGCTGATCACATGGAGTGACGATTCGAGTCGGTTTACTCTTACAGACTGTCCCGGTGCTAAAGGTTCGACGAGTCTACCCGGTTCCCGCGGGTGCAAAGAAGACAGTCGCGCTGGTCATCGAGCGAGCACTCGACGTAGCGAGACGCGAAGTAGAATGGGCAAAGGACATCGATCACGCGGACACGGCGACGCCGCAACGTCTCGCGAACTGGTGGGATAACTGGATGGATAATGTAACGGGGCAGCCCGTTTCATGGAAATTGTCATTTGAGAGATAATTACAATAAAGAATATTAAGTTGAATATTCTTTTAACAATATCACCGATAGTGGTGATATTGGTGAATCGACCAAAGAGTCTGCTCATTGGTTGATATCTTGACGATATCAACCCACCAATCGCCGCAGGACGCGCGCAATGAGTGGTGACGAGACGTCACCATGCACTCAGTTAGATTAACATAATTAAGTCAGGTTAAACAGAGAGACAGTAACAAAAGACTTAATTATATTAATACAACAGTTTTACTTTTCCCTTTTCTACGCTTCCTTGTTTGCCTCGTGTAAGCTTGTCGGGTACGATACCCTTGCGTTAAGTTCACGCAAGGGTGTGCCCCGTTACACCTGGTAGCACTTTGTAGTCCTTCCAAGGACCACAACATCCAACATGAACATGTTGGATGATGAAGAGACCTTTCACGCCACGCGTGAAGGGTTTTCCCATTTGAGTGACATCGAATGGAGTGCGGTAGAACGAATGAATTCTACCGTAGGCGAGTTCGCCATTAGCGCCATGCTGGAGTCTCTAGACAGAGACCAACAACATGCCGCTATAGCCAGGTTCATCCAAAATGAACTTGTCGCTGAAAGGGAGAAAGTAACCTTGCTTCACCAGCAAGGCTCTCAACAGGCCGAGCAGTTGATAGAACTTGGTGCTCAACAGACAGAGCTGTTAATACAGCAGCAATTCCATGCTGCTGTGGGCGGGACGGCACATGCGCGTCGCCCCGAGGCCATGAAGGTTGACATCTCCAAGTACAGAGGAGTCGAAGAAGAATCCCTGTTACTATGGTTTGTCGAACTCGATAGATCCTTAAGGGCTCGTCGCGTCGAAGAAGAGCAAATGAAACTCACATTTGCTCAGAAGCACTTGGCAGGGCGTGCCAAAACATGGTCCCTGGGGCTCGAGAGTAACGACCCACATGTGTTTGGGTCGCTAGATGACTTCAAGTCCCGGCTCAGACAAACGTTTGAGACGCCACGGGCTGATTTCAGGGCTCGTTCTGAGCTCCTGAAACTCAAGCAGGGTAAGCGTGATGTGCACGCTTACGCTCAACATATACGACTCCTCGCGAGTAGTATAACTGCTAACCCAGTTCATGAACACACGTTGATTACGGTGTTCATGCAAGGGCTCGCAGAAGGGCCCGTCAGGAGCCACCTGTTCCGCCTTGAGCTGAATACGCTGGAAGATGCGATATCAGCCGCGGAACAGGAAGACTTTAGCATGAGACAGGCTCATGCTATCTCAATCTCTTATCGTCCACCGAGACGACAAGAGATTGGAGGTCCAGAACCAATGGACCTCTGCTATGTTGAGAGCGAGAGACCTCGCTCTTCAAACAACAAGCGATTGCAGAAGTGCAATCGCTGTCAGAAGTTAGGGCACTACGCATATGAGTGTAGTGCTCCACGCCCAGTACCAAACAGTACTGAGAGAAATGGACGACCATTCGCCAAGAAGGGCAATGGGCGTGGGTCCAGCGCTGTTGCGAAGCCGCAACAGCGAAACGGACCATCAAAAAAATGGACGGGGTCAGTAGGGGCGGAGCGCCCTACTGATTCAGCAACCTCAAGAGAATTTGCAAATCTCTTGACGAAAGTTGCTCCAGATACACAATCATTGTGTGTATCTGCACATGGTGATGACGTTTCGCTCATCACCTTGAAGTTGGAATCGACAAATGATTTGTCGCTTCGTGCCCTAGTAGACTGTGGGGCGTCGAAGAACTTTGTTCGTCGCCAGTCACTAGAGGGTCGTAGGCTCAAGTTCGTTGAGCGCGACATTCCCCTCACGAGGATGACGGTGTGCCTTGCAACAGGCGCATCGATTACCGTTGAGAAACGAGTAGTAGGAATCCACTACACGTTAGAGGGCGAACAGTACGATGATGACTTCATCGTACTGGATCTGGATGACAAATTTGATGTCATCCTGGGATTACCTTGGCTCAGAAGGTACGAGCCAAGAGTGAGCTGGCAGCATCGATCCGTGAAGATGCCTGCCGCTTGTTCATCAGATGGCCATCTGATGAACATCTTGGAGTGTCCACAAGCGTGTGGATGTTCTGCGAGTGAGTGCGATGGCCTCACTTGCGGTACGGTCGTTATCACGACTGCACAAGATCACAGTGTAGTTGATCACTACACTGTGGAGCAAGCTCCCGGCGGCTGTACAGAAGTATAGGCTGCGCCGAAGGTCCACCACTCGAATAAGTCGAGTGGACCGGGACATGGATGCACGCCTAGCGGGCGAAATCCTATCAAGAGTAAACCGATTGCCCACAAGCGGCAACATGGAAATTCTAGTTCGACTGGAGGGTCGACCGTAGAGGATCGGTACCTGACTGTGGTTGCACAGCAACAGTCAGAAGACGTCGAGGGAATAAGTCCCCACGTACTTGAGGAAGGACTTCCTCAAGAGTCACTTGCTGAAGGATTAGGCCTTCAGCAACCTGTGGAACGAAGTTCCCAGGAAGTAACCGAGACGTTGAACGTCTTAGTTAATGACGGATCAAGCGTAGGCGCTTATACGCTTGATCTGATTGTGCTTCCGAAGTTAACTTCGGAGATAACTCAGTTGCCAACGCTAGA